CCGGTCTTCTTCCCCACAGGCTCCTCTTTCGGCACATGGGAACAGCCTGCTCTTGCGCCTTTAAGATTTGCTTCTTGAAGAATGTCCAGCCTTCCTGGACTCCTTTGCCCTTCAGGACTGCTTCCCAAGGGACTCTGCCAGGCTCCTAAACAGGTCAAAGTCTGCCCTTCAGAAGTCCAAGGCAGCAGTTCTGCTGATGCCCCCCTCCTTACTTGAAGGATTATGTTCTATACCAAACTAGTCCATTTACCAAAAAACTTTGGCAGGCCTGGGCCAGGGCAAGGTCAGTTTGACAGTCAAGTTATACAGACTTTCCTTGCTCAAATGATGTAGCTTATAGCAGGAGAAAAGAAATGTCTTTTTTTTGTTGTTTTGTTTTTGTTTTAGTGCAACTAACAAGACATATATCCCAAAATCATATATACTGCTGAAAGCATTTTTCTGCTGGTGTATGCGGGTCAACACAATGACTTTTATTGGCAAAGCAGCATCTTAAAAAACAATAATCACTCCAAATGTTCCAAATGACAAGAATGATGTTATACAGAGTTTAAGGATCAAAACCATTTCAGATAAATCAGAAGAGAAATAGGACTCTACTGTCTATCAGTTACACACAGCCAATACCATTTTGTTAAAAAAGGTCAAGTGGACCATTTTAACTCTTGATCCCAAATGCAACCTAATTTATACCCTCTGAGACAAAAGGTTGGAGGGAATGAGTAGAAAGAATTTTTCATAGGTAAGTATACTTACAGTTTTGTTGAAGAAAATATGTAATGCCACATTTAGAAGTCTATCTTTATACTTTGAGGCACATTTAGAAGCCTACCTTTATACTCTTATACTAAAAGCCTAAATTTGTAAATAAAATATAAAATTTCATTCTGGTGAAGGAAAAAAAAAAGCAAACACCTGAAAACAACTAACAATGCCTTCAACATATGTCCCTCAAATATAACGATCATAAAGTGCTGCTGTACAGATTGGATTTCACAAAACCATATAGTGTTTCTCTTCGCTACAAGCAGGACCAACTACACCTGACAGATATTTGTTTAATCTCTTCTTAGGCAGTCTCCAGTAATGAAGTCTAGAGAACCTTTTTCGTATCTTCTATTACAGCGTTTCACTATACTCACCTTCAAAAAATCTTTCCTACTATTTAAGATGAACCTATCTTACTTTATTTTAAGTCACTTATTCTCATCTTGTCCCCATATATACAAAATGCTTTCTACATAGCTTGAACTTAATTCTGTGTTCTTCAAACTAAAGACTCCTCTATCATTACACACAACTGATCACTAACCTCACGCTAAAGCGTAAGCAGATACATTCAACAGTGGAGAATGAAATCTTCTAAAATTAGCTCCCCCCAAACCAAAAGTTTAATTTGGTGTTTCTTATACATTAAATGCAACATCTTCCTCAAAAAAATGGGCTGTACTGGAAAAAAATCTATGTCTGAAGAAAAAAAAAAGCGTGTTGTTAATCCTCTGACAGAGGCACACAGATCTTCTAATTTGCAACAACACCATCATGGAAATTTTGAACAATAATTTAATAAAAAAGAGCTTTTCTACACCCCCTTGAAGGACCCCAAATCAAAAGCACCTATTAGTCACTATTTAGGACTTCTAAAAGCAAAGACATAAAAGTTTCATAGTGATGGACAATTTTTCTGGATCAGGCCCACAGATGATTTGGGAAAACCTTGTATTTAGCAGAGGCCATTAACACAGACTAAACACTTCTCTTTATGAGGAGGCTCATGAAAAATGCTGCCGATTCTGTTCAGTGCCTACTGGACAGAGGTTGCTGAAGATGATTTATAAGGACATAATACACCTAGGTAACATCAGTGACAGGTTTAGTTTTGAGTATAATATTCTAACTAGGTAGTTTACAATAACCAGCTTTCATTTCATTGAATATTTAACTTGACGGGTGGCATCTTGAAATAAAGTACAAAACATATACTGCTTATGTTCATATGTTATTGTATTAAATAGCTGCTTATAGATGAATACAGCTGTATATATCTACACACTTAGTTATTAATATGATGCTACAATAATTTTTTTAAACATTTAGAATGGTATCCTGTATTTCATTCCGAGTGGTCTTATTTCTGTCATACTTTTTTTGGATAACCATATATGTTTTATCTATGATATCTTGAGCTTGACCTGAACTATTGTAGATCTATCTGAGATATCTCAGCAAAACATTAGTCACTCCTCTGCAACAACGGCACAACTTGAGAAGCAAGGTCCAGTCAAGGAGCAGCCGAAGTGGGGAGAAGGGAAAGGGAAATTACACAAAAGAATCCCCAAGAGAAACCTTATCTCAAAGAAAAAAGTATGTTCTTATTGCCTTTCCTCACAGGTCCTCTCCCATGATAATGAAAGTGATACAACTGTTTTAATAACCACACTGTGGGCTGACTGACAAAGCAATTTTGCATTATTAACTACCACACTAGTTAAATATGTATTGCACAGATTAAATTATAATTCCACCATATTCCCACTCAATGGGAGCCTATTATTGCTTTTAGTGAAGCTAAAATCTAGTCTAAACGGTATAATTCTTAGCCAAAACCACAGGTGGTGACGAAAAATTCCCTTGTGGAACAATCCCATCTGTCAAACACACCAATAGTATTTGGTTCACCTAAGATTTTTAACCAAGATATTGTAATATTAGAAATTCAGAAAACATCCATAAAATGCCTGCACAACGTATGTGACACAACAGTATTTCATTTAAACTGCAAACATGTCTTCTTATGTGGCCTTAATATAATGTCACAGAGTGAAAAAAAGCTTAATGCAGTGATTTGCCTTGTAATTGAGAAAGCAGATGCAGCAGATTAGATTAAGGAAGCAATGAACTTTGGCTGTTTTGTAGAAAATACATCACAATACAAACGACAGTTCTGGTTTGAAATATGAGAGTTTTGTCACATAATTTATAAATTTTGTCACCGCCTCATTAGCAGTCCACAGAACAGGCAAGAAATAAACATAGTACTTTTTAGCAAATGATGATGAAGATTAACAACCAAGTGGTACTTTGTCAAAATACTTAACACTGCAATGCTATTATCAGCATACTGAGGACTTTTGTAAACAATGACATCAGCTTGAACTAAAACAAGGAAAGAAGCCAGAAGTGGTTATAAACTCCAACACACGTTTTACATGACATACATGAATATAAGAGCAAAAATGTCTACAAATACCAAAGCAGACATGAATGCACAAGAATGTAGAGTACTCATATGAAGAAAAACAAAACTGATAAAGATCACCAGCACAAATGACAAGAAATTCATAAGTTTTTGTTTTATACCTTTCTCGTTCTGGTGAATGAAAACTAGTATCTGGTCTCAAGCAGTTGGTACTAGCACTCCTAGCCCTGTCAAGGGAGGGCTGTAGTTCACTAGTGCCAGTGCATTGCATCCAATGGTAGAAGAGAAAGAAAAAGAAAACAAAGAAAGGAATACAATGTTAGATATTAACTCATAAAATAATGCTCTCTTTACAGAAAATGTAGAATCACAATGGTTTAATTAAGGAAAACTTAAAAGAGCTGGCTGGATGACAGTGCCAAGATTTGTTTAGAAAATAAAAGCAAACAAAAGACTGCTAGAAATTTTTTGCTACGATAGTTGAAATGTTTAAAACTGAATGAGACAGAACAACATCCACTTGTAAGAAAGTGGAATGAGAAATACCAAACGATAAATTTAAACTTTTATTAACAGCAGTAAATCTTAGGCCAACATAAAAGGATGTGATACACTACATGTTATGTGAAATGACTTTACAGTGAAGCTCATTTATTTTGCAAATCCGTATGAGATACCAAACAGGAGGGGGGAATTAATCCTCAGTTTCTTACCTAACCAGTAGATCATCTTCAAATTTCGGTATTTGTGAATTAAGGCAATCGCGAAGGAGTGAAATATCCTGTCTAATCACTGATTTGGTCTTAGCACATGCAGGAAGAGTTGAACTTTGTAAATTAAAATTATTTAAACAAAATGAAAATAAATTTGACATGTAACCAAAATCATATACGTAAACAAAAGAATGTAATAAAGAAAAACAAGCAACATATAATTTTAACAGTGAAGAAAACGCTACCTAATACAAAGTGTTTGTTTTTTCTTTTTTTTTTTTTTTTCATAATGTAGGGGTTAATTTAGATAGTTATATGAAGTTATTTTAGGATTATATCCTTTATTTCTCAGTTATAAAAACTGTATGAAGCTTTTTTTTTTTTTTTTTAATTTAACAAGGCAAGACTATTTATTTTTTAAAAATGAACTAACTACTTAACACGGACTCTAAACACTTCTTACCTGTATAGGTTCCAATTAGTACCATTTTCTAGTAAAGGCATCCTGGGTGGTAATGTTTTATAGTGCCTAACAGAATTTCTTGAATGTGGTGGAACAGAAAAGAAAACAGAACAACACAAAAACATGCCAGAAATAAAAAGACAGGTAAAAGTAAGGCAAGATTGACCAGAATGTAAAATAAATGCATAATATTCTACTACATTTAATAGCTGTATAAGTAGATTTCTCAATATATGTTTTTCTCAACTCAACTACTGTGACAGCTATCTGGGGGACAAATTTTTGTATTTACACTTTTGTTAATACAGCCCACGAACACATGACAATACTAGTAAAGCTCAGATTTTTTTCCTTGTAATGAAAGTAATCTAAATTCCATTTTTAGAGATTTTTAATTAAAATATACAAGCTGTTGTAAAGGATTAGGTTGTTATTAAACTTGCTGTTTATTTCTCTCAGTAATGCCTTATTTAGGCCTACAGAGACTTTAACCTCTTCAGTAGCTAAGCATGAAAAGCTTGCTAAAACAGTGATATATAGTATCACAAACTCAATTATAGATATATTAAGATCTGGTATTTTTGAATGTGGAAGTATTTTTGAAGTGATGTATCAGCTTCAAAATCCAACAGTAATTAAATGCTATTAATAATAAGCTAATTAAAAAAATTAGGAGATCTACTACATCAGCCAGCACAGCAGCACTCTGAGATGCTATGTGACAACTGCCTAATATCATCACTTACAGTACATAAGATTTTAGAACCGGAAATGTTTGCTTTATTATCCAGCTCTACCCAATGAAGACAGGAGAAATTTAAAGGCAGACAGTGGCTGCCAATGGGAATCATGGCCATTTAATGGTTAAGGGTTAATAATCAAGTTCTACCAATTTCCACATACCCTACCAGGACACAGCTGTGGTGCTATTAGCAGAAGGACTGGCAGCCTTGTGGATTTTACAGCTTCAAGAACAGTCTGTCCCAATAGGACATCTTGATTCCTATTAAGGTTTGGACCTAGGCACAGCAGATCAACATTACAAACCTGGCTGTGTCACAGACAGATGAAACAACTGTCTGGAAACCCTAGTGTTTGTAAAACCCTGAGGGATTTAACAGAGGAACTTTGACCCTTCTTGTACAGGTTTAGCAATCATCACTGCTGCCATCTCTACCTGAGACGTTGCGAAGTTGGTATAAAGGAATGGTTGTCCATCAGGTCAATCCTGGCATACTAGCAGATATTACCAATCAAAGTGGGTGTGACCTAAGACATGGACTGTGACCACCTATGGTCTATGGCATGGTACATGTCCTTCCACCATTTCTGCTATTAGTCAATAATTGCACACAGATGGACAGGATGGACAGCTAGGACTAGTATTATTCTAAACTGGTGTATTAAACTAACCATATATCTTAACTTTATAGCTTGGACTATCTCAGATTAATATTTCTTTCATTTAACATGAAACCCTTTCCCATTTTAAGCTGAAGCTGTCTCAACAATTGATTAAAACATTATTCAGCAAGCTGTCTAGAAAACAAGGATAAAGACTTAGAATGTTTCTAACATGAATAAATGTCAGACCACTACAAATGAGAAAGGACAAAAGATGGCAACCAATGCGCAGACCAAATTTTTGTTGAAAGAGTTTTTAAGACTATTCAGTCAAGGATGGATATTGGCAATTTTCTGGGTATTATTCAAACTTGGATTAGGCTGTATAAGCCTCAGAGTTAAATTTAAAAAAAACAACCTGTTGTCGTCTGTTGCCCTTATATTCACCTTCAATACATTATTAAAAGTACCATTCTGTTTTATAGTATACCATTACTGTTACTTTAAAGGGGTGAATTTTTTTACTTTTCTTGATCATAAAAAACCCCAGCAATAATTAGAATAAGGAAAAAGGCAAGAAAGGGTTATATCTCTGAATTCAGTGTAGCTCTTACCTAACTCTATTGCTGCCCATGCACAATTGTTAGCTGGTTAACTGGCCAGACTGGTTAGTAGTTTTGTAAAACTACTGGAAATCTATTGTGGCTGGGCAAAGTGCATCAAAAGTTCATAATATTTACTTTGTGAATTAAGTGAGATTTTAAGCATTCTTTCATTGAAGAATTCTAATGAAAATTATAATCTTTAAGAGGGAAAGGAAAAGGCACAGAGCTGGGGGCAAGGAGGAGGGTAAAGCTATAGAAGATGCAGCACAAAGAAAAAGGCCATAGGAAGGAGGCAGGAAAAATTGCTATTATATGGCAATAAACTGACATAAAATAACAGGGAGTGAAATAAATGATTAACCCTTGAAACCTAAAAAGTTGGGGAAAAAGCTTTTTTAGCTGAAGTATGAGAATGAAACTCCTTCTACTGATAATGAAAACTTAAATTTTAATTTAACAGCTTCACTGGTGCCCGGATTTTTTTTGAAAGTTTTTGTATTTATTATTTTACCTTTATACTATTGTGCCTTGTAACAGAACCCTATCAGTATCTTTGATGCTGTTTCAAATTCGATGAAAAGAATGAAAGAAACCCAAAGCATATTAAAAAAACCTCCTCTGTATTTTTTTTTATCCTACACCAAGTAAATTAATAAGTACATTAGACAACATGGTTTTAGAAGTTTGACAGTTTTAAACATATAGCACTGACATAAAACTCTTAGCAACACCCGGATCCCAAACAGAAAAATGGTTAACTACTTGGTTGAAGTAGTTGAATGGTTAACTACTTCAACTTCAACCTACATTTTTACTGATTCTAACTGGAAGATTTTCTATACAATCTGACATGTATTTTTAAGAAGGTTAACAGACGTGGTGAAAAAAAAAAGGGAGGGGGACAGAGTTAGATTTGTCAGATAAAGATATTTCAGTCCCGTTTAGTTTCACAACATTGGGAAGAAGTTGAGACAGGAAGCTCCAAGCTTTGGAACGAGAGATTAATGAAGACTGAAGATGAGCCCAAACTACAAAGTTTATACCTGGATCTAATTTATAGCACAATTTGTAGATGAAAAAAACAAGTAATACAAGACCCCTCAAATCTGAGGTACCAGGGAGCCCTCATTAATCACTGTTCTTTCCTCAACAAGTGACCAAAATCAGCAAGAGATTAGGTGTCACAACACCTAATTGTTGGCTTGTGCATGCTTGTAATATAAACATAAAAATGCAAATAAAAGAAAACATAAAAACAACTAAAAAGGAATGTTTGAAATTATAACAACACTGTCATCCATTGGGAGACCAGGACTTCTGTGACTAGACAGAAAATCTACCACGAAATACAACTGCAAAATCAGAATATCTTCAACTGCTTTAATCCTTACTACTGAAGTTCACAAACATATATACACATCTCGATCTGAATTAAAATGAACAAAAAAGAACAACTGACACCTGGATCACAATGTACTAGGAGGTTCTTTACTTACTGGGACTAAACACCGCTATGGAAGAAAGTCGGGCACACAAAGTATAGACAACTAACCAGACGTGTTCATGATTACCGAATTCCTGTATTTACCTGATGGTATGTAGGCACTCTGCACTTCTTCCTCGTTTTGCTCTGGGCAGCATAAGAAGCTCACTGCACAGACAGGATGGGCGGTGAGTGAAACAGATATAATTATGAAGCATTAGATGACATGGGTTATGCCAATGATACGCAGATGAAAACATAAAAAGAAACAAGAAGCTTCCACCCAGATAGATAGTCTGATAATGTTCAAACCCAGACTGCACTTCTCAAAGAATGAGCCAAAAAATGCCTGTGATAACTACATTTTCAACAAATTCCTTTCAGCGTGGCACCCAATTTTGTGGGATTTTCTCCTTTTAAAATTTGGAAGTACTGTTTCAGAGTTCTTCATAACAAAAGCAATCCATAAACCAGCTCCTTTCTCATGAACTAATTAATGAAGAAATACTTTAGAAAAAAAAGAATGATGCTTGGTTGTTTGGGGTTTTTTTCTTCCTAAGCCACAAAAACACACATGAAAAAACAGAGAGGGTTTGCTACTAATTTACTGAAAATTGGTTTATGGGAAGAGTAACCAGTCACCCTTTCAGGAAAAACAAAAATATATGTTCACTGGAAATATTACATTTGGAAAAATATAAATTCTGACTCATAGCTCTTGGCAGTATTTTGTAATGCGATCCTAAAAAAACCAAAAGAATTGCTAATCAGCCATTAGACTTTCTGTTCCTTATTTTTTCCAATTGAGAAAATCATCTGTCTATTCTGTTTTTCATTTACTGTAACCAAACATATGCTACAGCCAGCAAGGTGATAAAATTAATACATATTTATGCCTATGGTAAATATGACTATGATATGAAATATCCTTTGAATTAATCTTGCAGTTTTATGCACTTCAACACAATCAGAAAGACCAAGCTCCAAATCTCCTACTTATCGTAAATATGAAATTAAATCCAAACTTCATGGAAACATGCTATTTTAAAAGAAGCAGGGAATCATATGAAGTACTATGGCGACAAAGAGAGAAAAGATTACAAAATAGGTAAAGCAGCAGTTGTTCGATGCGTTTTGTGCTTCATGCCATCATAAAAATGACCCATTTAATTGATTCAGTATAGGTAATATTTGTCTAAAATTCTAAACTGGGCAGCTTGAAATAATGGCTTGTGAGTCACGGGTGAGATTTAACTTTGCATCTGGAACCACTAGCCTCATTTTGATGCAACAAAATGTATTAAAGGTGAACTGAATTGTTTTGTTGGTTTGGGTTTTTTTTAAGCAAATTTCAATTCATAAGCTCAGACGACTGACAGAATTTATATGCAGGTTTCCAAATTACATATAAATATGCGTTTTAGGAAAAAAGTTACCATTTTCTTAAAAGTTGCGAGGTAGATGCAAAGTCTGTACTAAATCATAGGGTACTTCATTAATATTTTCTCTACCTTTGCTAAGCCAAAGAGTATCTATTGTAATTGGCCCACGGCAAACAGTAATATAAAATTCACCCAGAAAAGGGATATAAAATAGCAAATCCACCATGAAATCTTCAAGTTAAAAAAACAAAGCAAAAGAATCCATCACAGCAGATTACTGATAATATAAGAAGATACCACAGTTCTATAGTAAATTAAGACTGATTTGGGGACATTTAAAATAAAGATTATTATTCTAAAACAAGTGTTTTCTAATGTGAGTCTTTTAGCACTCACATTAACAGATTTTATTTAGGAATAAAAGAAACACTAAGAAGAATTATAACGGGCATGTCCTTGAAAATTGGATGACGATCCTAAATTCAGAGCAAAGTATACTGCTTAGCTACATTTCCTAATAAAAAGCTTTTCCTAACAGATTTATATATATACACACACACACAAGTGTGTACATATATAAATATATATAAAAAAGGTAAAGTGGACAAATCGGTTTGACTGGAAATTTATCACACCAGATGCTTTAGTAAGAGACTATAATAATTATTTTTACAAAGATCTATTCAGAATATTCAATATTAATTTGGGACCAATAACAGATCATTGAGAAAATGATCAAAAATAATCAGCAACTGCAGTTTCTGCCATGTAACTATTGGGGAATACCTTTCAAACCAAGTTTATGTTAGGTATCTACATGAATGTACTTGTTTAGATGAAAGGTTCAGTAAATGAACCACACATACTACTTATACTACTATTGATACTAATACATAATACTGAATAAAGATTTTTTTAAATCCTTAGATGTGATAGAGAATCTTCCTCAACAAAAGCTGGTTTTGATCTTCCCTATGATGCTGCTCTTACGTACTGAAAGACAGTGAAACCTGCAAGAGTTAAACAGTCTCCACAACTGAAGAAATCTGGGGGAAACGCAAAAAGGAAAATGGGAAAAAGGAGACCACTGCAGACAAGATTGTTACTCAAGGAGATTAAGTACATGGACTCATCTTTAAATCCTGCAGATAAGCCACGTACATCCTTCACGTCTGATCTTTAAACTTCTGAAAAGCGTTTTCTGATAATTGAAAAGAACTGAAGAATGTGTCTTACTCCTCTGAACAAATTCCTGCTGTGGTTCTGGTCTGATAGCTCATCTCCAAGCAAGCCTCAATGGAAGGCCCTGCTCTTCAAGCATAATCTATGCATATATAATCATTTATATCATGGTTTAATGCTTTACTAGAAGAAAATTTTTTAGACAGTTAACTGTCTATATTTATTTCTACTAACAAAAGCTACTTTTTAATTGCTCTTTCTCTTCAGATCTTCTGAATAAGTCATCTATTCAATAAATATTTTCAGGAATCTTTTGAATATATTACTACTTATAGTAAATAATAAAATGAAACATTTGCAACAAGTGCAAATTACTTGAAATAGCTTAACTATAAATCTGACTACTACATTTAAAAAGCATTTCAATTCACCTCTGAAATTCAGTACAACAATCCAACTTAGACAATTCTGTACATACTTCTTGCCTATAATTTTAAAATTTTAAAATGTTTCAAATAACTCATTAATTCCCATATGTATGTTATCACATTAAAAAAGCAAACCAGGCAAGATCATATACAAAACTGAACTAGATTAACTGCAAAAGCCATCTGTTATTCAATTTCTATGTTGCTTCAAAACTGGACAAAGAGTTCCAGAGATTTTTCTGGTTTATTCCTTACACATTTTCACCATGAAATGTATGGTTTGTATTGAATTTACTAGACTATTTGGAAAGGTTTTGTCATCCTTACTTATAAAAAAAAGTAACTTACTGCAAAAAAAAAAAAAATCCAAAGACATTACTATGACAATTGATTGGATATGGATGGTAAAAGTTTGCCATTATAGTTTGGCTATACGATTTTTTTTCAAAGTAAACAAACAACCCACAAACATTGATAATCTATGTGACTGTCATCATCATGTTTCCCAAATACTGAACTGAAATACCTTATTAAACTTTTTTCAGCTATAAACTAAACAGGTATTCTTGTTTTCTTCCATTTTATTAGAAGACATTCCAAGACAGCTGAAAACAATGCCTACTAGGAGAGACCAAGCATTCTCTGAGGAGTGTAGCCACTGCATGTATTCCAGGGAGAGATGTGTACGTGTCACAGATCTAAGATTGGAGATTTTTGCTAATTACAAGCACTGCAACTATCCTTGCTATGCTTGGGTACTATACCAAGTTCACCAGAATGTTACATAAGATGCTGTGACACTGCATATATAGATGTCCAAAATCTACAAGCACAGGAATGCAAATCATAGCATATGCAACTCCCAACCAGTAGGAAGTCATGCCTGGTATTTTGCTGGCTACCAAAACAGAAAAATTCTGAGTTACAAGAATAGCTAGAGCATACATGTAGATTTATGGTTTTCTAGCAAAAAATCTCTGGGCTTCATTCATGAAACAAACAGCAGAATACTCTAGAACACCCAAGAACCATTAATCTAGACACCTGCTATTACTGTCAACCCAGAGCACAGTTTTACCAAAAAAGAGGCATAGATAATTTAATCATGACACTAGATTTGTCAGTTAGGATAATTTCAGTCCCTTCCCCATTACTATCAGTCATGTTTCTACTGAATACTTGAAAATTAGGCAAACCAACAAAGATATTTCTAAACTTGTTTCCAAGTTCAGGCTGATGATGTACCTTTCTTGATCAGACAAATACTGACTATCCATGTCTCTGGATCTGTAATCAACTGGAGTTCTGGAGGCATCATGGTGTCTAGTTGGAGAACGTGATCTTCTCATTTGATGAATTTCATCTAAACTCCTGAAAGGCAGAAATATGTATGATAATCTTGTTTTCTCAAAAATAACACAGCTTAACGGATTACAGTACAAGCTGATTGAAGAAAGTCTTTAATCATTAAATTGTTAACATATGACTTCTAAAAAAATATCAGTTCCTAAGATTAAAAAAACCACCTCTAAGTATAGAAAGCAGCCATTTCTACCATATTTAGAAGTACATGCCTGTTTCTGTGTACACTGATGGATTCAGTAATGGCATTTTCAAAGCCTGTACTTAAAGAATAACTGAGGTAACACAAGAACTGATAATACCTCACATGAAATTAAGTTTTATGCATTTGTAGATTCATAGCCAGATTTCTAAAGGGCTGATTTTGGGCTGTCAACTTTTTGCAGGTATCTCTAAGTATTCTTTAAAAAATTCTGGGATAGGATATGGGAACTTGCAGCAGATTTTATCAATCTCAGACTAAGTGTTATACAAAAGAGATATGATTTTGTATAAATGCAGGTAGGCTCTGACCTCCATTACCGTAATTTAAAGCTCTTCTCACATGGAAAAGAATAAGAAGGGCAGATTCTTCCTTTCGTTTAATAACTGCCATTTATTTCTGTAATGTATTTTTTACTTCTTCCATTAAAAATGTCACATTATAAATACATTTGGTAATTTCAGCTTGCTGTTAATTCAAAATTAGCTCAATTCATATTTATTATACAATTTGTACATGCCACTATTTATTATCCTACGAATATAATTAAGTGGCTTTATACAAGATTCAGCCACGGACTGAAAAAACATTTCCAAACCTACGTATTAGTTATGGTACACAGATGATGAATCACAGAGAAAATATCAGTAAGAAAAGGTAAGTCTTACAAAGTTATGATTCATCTCATGAGTGCTCTTGAATGATTAATAAAAGCATACATCAAGTTCAAATACTACACTATTAAATTAAGACACAAAAAAAGTTTTTAAATTGTGAAAAATTGCTGAACAAGAGAAAAGTTTACAGTGACAGATTATACAAACTTGAAACCACCCAGTGTTTCACTAACTTGTGGTGCCTACCTCTGTAATGGCACATTTGGTAAACGTGAACGGGTCCTGCCCTGATCGTCGCCACGGTGAGGAGATACAGATCGTGAACGATGATGTGTTGTTCTTTGCTGTTCTGGCACAGTTAGCGTTGTAGATTTACTTTCTCTAGTACTAGATCTATAACCTACTGGCAAGAGGGCAACAAAAAGAAATTAGAGAATAAAAGTCTGGGTTTGGAAAGAATTCAGATGGTTAGTCCTTTCAGGAACACACATATAAACTTACACAACTTTCAAGTCGTCATTCAGCTGTTGTACCTCCTGATGTATCATGCATCCAGGATAAATTACAAGCATTACTTTTAAATGACTACATGTACAGAAACAGAGAAACGGAGATGATTTTCATACCGGAAGATGTGGAGGAGAGGACTGAAATAGTTTTCTGACTTGGGGAAGAGTACCCAGAGTAACTTATACTTCAAAATTGTCATACAGGAGCAAATATTTGAAAGCAATCCAAGCAACATAGGTTTACCTCATCTAACAAATGGAGAAGGCACGCTTGTGTACAGCAACACAGACTCATCCAGGACTGCTCATGTATAAAGCATCCTTCTAACCCTTGTTTCAGTTAAATACAAAGATATTCTCTACTGAACTTGGCCAAAGCCACCTACTTTCAAAAATTACGAGCATTCAGAGTATATTGTATAGAATATTGGTGTTGATTACTCTGCAGAACACTTTTTCTGAATACTATGAATGAGCTGCAAAGTTTCTCGTAGTTCATTTTTACATATGATTAAAAAAAAAATCAGCAGAATGTTAGTACATTTTAAAGCGTTGATATTCCTGTGCCTTTTTCCATGTAGCACACTGTTTGCCTTGATACACACTGAATCCCATCCTAAAACAGACAATGAAGCTCAAGAAGACAGCTTTCAAAAGGTGCATGTTATCTTTCCAAATGAGCCTAAGGAGATTTGGTCAGACTTCAGTTGCTCACTTCTAGACATTTAAATTAGATTACAAGAATCCCTTGACAGAAAATCCCTTAATGACAGAAAGGGTCATCCCTTGAGTCATCCCTTAATGACTTCACAAATTATTGTTTAGATTCCAAAATAATAATTTTGCTGCTTCTCTGAATTTGTTTAGCACTAAGTTCCTGTAATGTGTTATTTCGTTCAGCTAAAAAAACAGCCTGTATCAGAAATCTTCTTTCCATACAGGAAAAGACTATGCTTTAGTCACTCAATCATCAATTGGATAAATTAAATAAGTTGCACTTTTTAAGGGTCTTGTTATAGAGTTTCAAGTTTGGGGTTTTTTCATATTTTGTATAATTTGTGTAATTCTTGTAGTTGTTCTCTGATCTTCTACCAAATTGTTATAGCCCTTTTGAAAGTGTGGCCTATATACAGAGTCTGTATGAGGCTTGGTCACGTATTCAATGACACTTAATAACCTGTTTAGCTGCAAGTCTGAACCCTGATCACAAACATCCAGAAAGCATTCATGCTTTTTCTCCCAAATTGCGCATCAGTTTACTAACCTATTCTAATGGACATCTAAGTTATCTGAATGCATTATCTGATTATCAGACCCGAGAAAAACACTTTGTTGAAAAAGTGGTAAGTAATCCTAAAATAATAACATATTCCACCATAGAACAGATTATTTTAGTAACACAAAACTGCGAACAGGGATCTACTAGATTATGCATTTTATCATCCAAGGAACTCTAAGACTGTTTTCCCTGATTATACAGCTTACAATATCACAGCCTCCAGAACTGTGTCCACACTTCTTTTTATATAGTACTGAGAAAACTAGCAGAAGTTATCTGAAGATAACAGATGAGCACCAAGGTGCTGTAGCATCCTGCAGTAGCTTCCAGCCTTGCACCAGCAGCAACTTTAGTAAATAAAAGAAGATTGGCTTCAATAATTTCTTGTTGTCTTTAATATATTTACCACTACAAATACAATAGGGAAGGCAGGTGTGAAGGAGACAGGGTTAACAAAAAGATGATTAGACAGTTTTACTATGGACTTTCTGGTACTGTCAGCTAGAAAACATATGCAGAAAGACCTTTGCAAGTTCTGCTATCATCTTGTCCAACTTTCCTGTTTTATACTTCCTAGTATAGCGGCTGGTGTGAGAAGATGGGAAATAACTTTTTTCTTCCATTTGTTGAAGCAGAGAGGTGAGATGAGGTTAATAGATCAGGGAAATGGGAAGCAGTATGAGTACTGATAAATCTTAGAGGGTAGGATTGGGCCCAAAGAAAAGCACTTGTAATAAGAACATATGTAGCTCAGAAACAAACATCAGTGACCATAACGTTGTGTGCATGTGTGCACTCTTCCCAAACATTGAGTTAGACATGTCAAATAAAAATAATGAATACAGTTTCATATTTAAAATGTGACATTACTCAAGTTTGGGGAGGTTGGGGGCTATCATTTGAAAAGCAGAGAAAGACATGGAGAAAAAACTTTTACATAGGAGCTACATAAACAGCAAATGCTTGCCACTTAATGGGCATTTTTAATAGCAAAGCTGTACTGAGTATTGACTGCAAATAGACCTGTAAAAGTTGATGGCATGCATGAAAGTATCTACCGAGGTTTATCAACCTTTTAACAAAGAAGGACTCCAATGTTTCGCAGGTTTTGATGCACTGTGACGCTGGAGTACCTTTTCCACTGTAAAAGAAATACGAGGATCTCCCTGATATCAGGACAAGGACTGGGTGCAAATTTTGAGGGAAAAAAGGGACTCCCTCAGACTTCAGTGGAGATTCCCTCACCTCATGTACTAAGGTTGCTGCAGAAAATGTCTGGTTTTTTGTCAGAGGAAGAAAAAAGACTACACATGACAAAAGCTGGATGTGTTCCCTTTCCCAGGATAATTAAATCTAAGCTGTATGTGCTAAAAGATATTTCATTTTCCAAAAAGCTCGTTTTAGATAAAATCCTGTCATCTCTATCAGAAGGAACACTAGTTTACATTTATTCAGCACTAAAATAAAAAAAATCCAAAACTTCTTTTCAAGCTTTAGGCAACTGTACTGAAATACATATACATTAAACATACATTTCACTTCAAAATATATTTCTAGAGTATCTCTAGTCTGCCTAAAAAAAATACACCTAGGATTATTCTGTACGCTTACAAATCTGGTATAGAAAGATGATTTTATCCTATATATTCTTCCTAGCCAAGCTATACAGGGAACAATATCTGAAGCTTGTGCATTGTGTGTACACAAAGCTTACAGAACAGACACAGCAATAACAATTCACATTTATCCTAAGTATTAGCTCAAGTATTGTCAAGTTGGTCAAATCACATCCGTACTTCCATAGTGACCATGACAGTGACAGCAACAGTAACATTTCCTCATATGCTCAAATACAAAGGCTCTGTGCTCTCCAGAGTGAGCAGAGAAATTTTTTGCATGGACCAGCATGATAGCAGCAGTCAAGCTTATGGTAGTTTACGCAGAAGAAGTTTCTCAGTTGCTCATGGGAAACTGTCAGGTGTGACATGAAATGGAAGCTGGATGAATAATGAAAATGGTTCTAGGAAATGTTCGATACCAGAACTTTTTTTTTTTTTAAAAAGACAATATAGGCAATGACAAGGTGTTGTGTTGGTGTCACCCTGCTGCTACAGGAGGAAGGTAAGTACAGTGCAACCATTTATACAGATTACATATGATAGAAAAATAAATTGTTCTGAAGAGTTACCCATAGCATAAGCAATACAGCTCATTAAAAATACCCTTTGGGATATTGCCAACTGTATATCAGCTTTTTTTCTTTTTAATTAAGAAAGTTACTGAAGTTTTGGTTAAAAAGTAGGCCTTAAAACATGTTCGGTTTTTATTAAATCCTTTACTGATCCTTTACTGACACTTCCCATATACTTAGCATTGGTGAGGCCACATCTGGAGTACTGGGCTCCCCAGTACAAGACAGACATGGAGCTACTGGATTGAGTCCAGTTTAGGATCACAAAGATAATTAAGAGACTGGAGCTTCTCTCATATGAGGAGAGGCTGAGAGATTTAAAATAATATTTTCTTCATGTAAACACATGTAGGCATACCAAAAAAACCTGTCAAAAATCAATTCTGTTAAAGCTGAGCTTCAAATTAAAGCTTCAAATTACTTTCAGCTGTTGATATAAACTCCTTTTATGAACAGTTCTATGAGCTGATTTAAAAATATATATATATATCACTGCAAGATACTAATAATAAATGAAGACAGTACAATTATATGAAAGATAAGACACATTTGTGATATAACAAGGGAAAAATACTTTTCTTAAAATATTCTTGAAGTTATCAAAGCCATTATTTTTGATGTAGCAGTCTACTTCCATCGACAAGCAGTGATTCTTTGCAGCTGCTGAAACATCTAGGAAAATAGTTTTCTCTGTTATTACTAAATGCTAATACTGCATTTGCCTTAGCAATTGGTAAAACATTTGAAATTATAGTTTTAACAATTTCCAATTTTAGTTAAATTAGCCAAAATATTTTCATCATTCTTTTTTTAGCTTATGGTGGTGATCAAGTGAACTTTTGTGCTTCTACATTTTGCAGTTATGTGTCTGTATTTTAGAAAATGAGCAATAATCTTTGTGAAAATCTCGAGACATTAAGAAGGCAAAATAACTTCCTTCTCTTCTGAATATTTCAAGAAAAAGAATAAATTAACAACTGTAACAATATACCTTTAATAAAGACAGAGCTTATTTATCATATATAAGCACCACGGTGGGTAACATTGGCAAGTAAGTGGTAAAGGAAGGAAAAGGAGCTTTAAAGGGAAACATTCTCTTTTGCGTAACATGTAAACTCAATTTTGATATTCTTACTTCTGTTGAGAAGAAATATCTTAATCCTAGACTAATGTGGTTGAAGCCAATAGAGGCTATGCCAAAATGGTCTAAGAGTGCACCTGAACTGCATCATCATCCTACATACGGGGAAATATGGATATTCATCGTTCCCTCCCACACGCATACTTTACAGGAGAATGTGTGGGAAATCTGGGCTAGAAGAGCTGCAGTGCACTCTGGTGAGGTCCATGGTATTGGGGGGCAGGAGAAGGGAAGGGGTAAAGACCCGGCAGCACAACAAGGAACTTACACGCAACTTATTTTAACAGAGGAGACTGTTAGATGGAGAAGATACTGTACTATTCATTCGGTGCAAATGAAGGAAGCAGTCCAAAGTCTCAGAAGATTTAGCAATGTGATAAGTAAGGAAGGATGGACAGGAGGGTAGAAATGCATATCTGAACTTGGGGCCAGGCACATTTGTGAATCTGTGCCTAAGATTCTCGAGCAAGTCAGCAGGCATGGGACTGGCAACCTTTTCCAGTTCTCACTGCAAAACACATTTTCATATGCTGTCTAGGTTGTCACACATCTGTGGCTGACAACTGAAATTTTCTTTGCCCCTGTGTGCCTAAAGTCTAACCCCCGTTTAAGAATTCAGGTTGCACCTGCAAACAAAACCCCCACACTTATCTGTATATCCACTTCACATAGGAATCACAAACATATTAATTCCACTTACAATTCCCAAACATGTATCCATTAAACTCAAAATAGACAAATTTGTGCTTGGTCAGGTCAGCTGCCAGGTTGTTTCTGATTAGGTGGACTTCAGAAGGAGTATCCTCACCAGGCCCTTCAAGTTTCAGTTCAGAAACTCTCAGCTCATTGTAAATCCTATTGCTACAGATTAAATCTTGCAATTTTCTACAGTGATCTCTGAGAAAGTTTGGACCCATGCATTCTTCAAAGGCACACCTGAGCATGCACAGTCCCAAGAAATTTCCATAAGAATCAGTTACTCAAGTGCTGACGCAGTGAATAGAGTCCAATGCATTCAGCTTAATGCTTTTTAACGTTTCCTGTCAGATGGAGAATGGTTTTGTATTGGGTTTGCATGGCAAGGTTTTGGTAGCGGGGGGGTGGCTACCAGGGTGGCTTCTGTGGCAAGCTGCTAGAAGCTTCCCCTATGTCCGATAGAGCCAATGCCAGCCAGCTCCAAGACAGAGCTGCTGCTGGCCAAGGCCAAGCCCATCAGCAACAGTGGTAGCACCTCTGGGATAACATATTTAAGAAGGGGAAAAAATCTGCTGCACAACAACAGCAGCCAGGGAAGAGAGGAGTGAGAATCTGTGAGAGAAACAACTCTGAAGACACCAAGGTCAGTAAAGAAGGAGGGGGAGGAGGTGCTCCAGGCGCTGGAACAGAGATTCCCCTGCCACCCATGGTGAAGACCATGGTGAGGCAGGCTGTCCCCCTGCAGCCCATGGAGGTCCATGGTGGAGCAGATATCCACCTGCAGCCCATGGAGGACCCCACGCCGGAGCAGGTGGATGCCCGAAGGAGGCTGCGACCTTGTGGGAAGCTCGTGCTGGAGCAGGCTCCTGGCAGGACCTGTGGGCCCATGGAGAGAGAGGAGCCCACGCTGGAGCAGGTTTGCTGGCAGGACTTGTCACCCCGTGGGGGACCCACGCTGGAGCAGTTTGTTCGTGGGGACTGTACCCCGTGGAAGGCACCCATGCTTTATGAAGAACTGCAGCCTGTGGGAAGGACTCAGGTTGGAGAAGTTCATGGAGAACTGTCTCCTGTGGGAGGGACCACATGCTGGAGCAGGGGAAGAGTGTGAGGAGTCCTCCCACTGAGGAGGAGGAAGGAGCAGCAGAGACAACGTGTGATGAACTGTCCAAAGCCCGCATTCCCCATCCCCCTGCACCTCTCAGGGGGAGGAGGTAGAGAAAATCAGGAGTGAAGTTGAGCCCAGGAAGAAGGGAGGGGTGGGGGAAAGGTGTTTTTAAGATTTGGTTTTATTTCTCATTATCCTACTCTGATTTGATTGCTAATAAATTTAATTAATTTTTCCCCAAGTCGAGTCTATTTTGCTGTGACGGTTATTGGTGAGTGATCTCCCTGTTCTTATCTCGACCCACGAGCCTTTCGTTATATATTTTTTTCAGCTGTCCGGCTGAGGAGCGGAGTGATAGAGTGGCTTTGGTGGGCACCTGGCGTCCCACCAGGATCAACCCACCACAGGTTTATTTCAAATGGCAAATGGATGCCTTGAAGAACTGGCAGCTGAAAAAAGGCCCCAATTCTTAATACAGTATACTGAAATCTTAAACTTAAGTAAGTCTACACAGATATGCCAGTATCTACATTGCCATAGAACCTATGATTTATTTTAATTTTAAATGTTCACTCTCTCAGCTGATGTAAAAATATCAAGCTTAATCACTTCATTAAAGCAAATATCATTACTAGACATACCTGAACACATTTCCCTCTTAGTAACTCAGGTGGTAAGTGTATTAAAGTAAGGAAAAAACCCAATCAACATCAAAGGAAGGAGAATTTGGCTCAGTAAACATCAAAATGATACTGCATTAATAAAATATGTGATTTATTTGTGTGGTTATATAATGAATAAATAAACTGTCAGATTATTTTAAACACATCAGGAGGATAGAGAGCTTTCCAAATCCCACCATGATTTAATTCAGCGATTTTCATCAGGAAGATCCACAGAAAAACTGATTTAGTGCTGGCAATGACATAGTGACTCTTCAGTTAGTTTGGGACAATTGGGAAACATATTCATTTGACTTGTGGCAACAGTCAAATAGAAGTAGAAAAATGTGGTATCCAAAATGATCCTCAAGATTTTCAGTATGTAAGGAATGCTGAACTAAAAGTCAAAGCACGATAGTCTCTACAAGCATATATTTATGAACATTTACGTAATGATAGTTCATGAAGGCTTATGAAAACTATAAAAGATATAGCCATGCTACATGCATCTTAATCTACAGCCATGCATTCTCAATAAAGTCCATGGGAGACTGCATCATATCTAAGTTTCAAGCAACAAGCAAAATAAAAAAAAATGCTTGCAATAAACACTGAAATCTTAATTACTTTTTTAAAATGATTTTTTTAATTTAATTTATATTTTAAAAAATGCTTGGAACATTACGCAGTAAATAATTAAACAATTTGAACCATCCAGTGGCTCACATATGAAGAATGATATGTAAAAGAAATATCAATGAATGAATAGTAGAATCTTTTAATTCACCACGATTTAGGACAGGTACCATGGAATAATCAGGAAAACTGTTTTTTTCACAATGCACTCTCCGAAACCAGTATCCTCAATATTCCGAAATGTTATAAAGAAAAAAAAAGAAACAAACAAGCAAAAAAGAAGAAGAAGAAGAAGAAGAAGAAGAAGAAGAAGAAGAAAGCAGGACCATGCTGTTCACCCACGCACCTGGAGGAACAACTCCAATACCATCATCAACATCATAATCTGAGATGTCACTATCACTGATTGGCCGAGATCCTGCACAACAGTAAGGTAAACAAATACCTGAACATCTGGTCGTGTTATAAAATGTAAAAATATGTTCATTTAACATACTACTGAAATTAAAAAGATTACTTTAAGTCTAAACAATAGAGGAGGAGAACTAAACTGCAGTGACTGACAGTGGTGTTTCACAAGTCAGCTGAGCCAATTTAACATCTTACAGCTGCTGCAGCCTCCTTTCCCCTTCTCCTTCCCTCAAGTCCTCAGTAATCCTCTACTAGGACAGTTTACCTCACTAAATCAGCAAAAAGTTAACTCAAAAAAAAAAAACAACTTTTGTGCTATTTCAGTGAGTAAGCTGAATCAGCTTGCTGACAGGAGAGGAGAGGTGGCAGCATATGGTGAGAGAAGGGAAGAGGAAACAGCACTGCCAGCTTTTAGAAAAGTTCAAATATCTCATGAAAACTAACCTTTAATTTGCTCACTCTATACATATCCTCATGCAGCAATTACATTTTTATAATTCATTCCTGAATGTGCACCAATTTCCTATGCATTGGCTGGAACGAATGACTTCCATGTTTAAGAAAAAACAGAAAAATAGCTTGGAAACGTATTTTAAAATAATCCCCTACATCCTTCTTATTTCTAAATAAATCTTAAATTAATTTAAATGAACAGAGAAGCTACAGTATTAAAATATTTCAATACATTCATTATTTTAATATGCCTCATACAAACCTGAAATCAGGCTGATGAAAACAACTGTACCTCCCAAATACACGCATACAATTTCTGTTTGCTGCAAAAGTACAATTCTCATCTGATTGCATAATGACCATATTGGAGGCTGAGACTAACTTTATGATGAAAAGTGTTTTTAAGCCTCGTAAGTCTTTAAGGACTTTCTTTTTTTAAATAAAAAGCTTTTAATTATTAAAAAAAAAAATCCAATAATGATGAACATCATCTTTCTATGTAACAGGGAATTTATGCAAACAAATGTTTGAACAATTTTCTTTTGCTAGTGAAAACCAAACCATTTCCAACAGGTTTCACGTACTTAAAAGTTATGTGTCACAGGTGGAAGGCTGCCATGTCACAATGTCATAATTTGCATCTCTTTTCTGCCACACATTTTCATTAAGTTTAACAACTATTAGATAATATTTTTATCTTGTATATGGAAGTTAAATACCGTTACACGATATCCAGCATTTCTAATTTAAAATTTAAAAGACATGAATGGAATTTGGACCTACTTTGTAATTTTTTGCTAGTGCTTTCTCCACCATGAACATGTCTTCTTGGCATGAAAGGTGATGGCTGAGGCAGAGGTAGTGAAGATTCATCATGTGTCTGTAGCTTATACCAATGTGGTTCATCATCTAAAAGTGCTGTCTCCAGTTCTATAAGAATCTAGTAGAAAAATTACCACGTTTTAGTTTTACTTTCAAGGCACACAGGCACAAACACATATATAAAATATATATGCATATGTATTCAAAACCAAACAACGAACTCAGGAGAAATGTGATTGTATGTATCACCTCTCCAAGAAATTCACTCTCTTCTTCTTGTACTCTTGGTTGATCCCATACGGTTATTTCAAGCATTCGTTCTCTAAAATCTCTACGATGTACATGTGAGTAGAGAAAAGTTTGGTTCCATTTTGGCTCTAGACTTTTCTTTACTGTTTTGGTCCTCCTTTTACTCTTATCACTGAAACATAAATATTTGTTGTAAATTGTTTGTAGAGATAAATCACAAAATGCCATCTACTCATCAGCATTCACTGTTTTCATTCTTTCTGATCTGATACTGCCTAAAAGAGAAAAGTATTTGCTGTACAGTAGATCACATTCATCCAAAGTCCACAAAGTTAGTTTGATACTGACTTGCATGATTCAAGTGCAATTTTTTGTTATAATTAATCTAACTACAACAAATTATTAAAAGGAATTCTTTACTTCACAAGCATTCATTTAAAAGTTGATTCAATACATGGTAAATAATAACATAATTTTCTAAACTGAAAAACTACTACCTTCTGTCTGGAAGAAAATACATTTTCACGTAGGGATTCCTGGGGCGTCCATCTACTCTTGGTGGCAAATCTGTTGCTTGCAGAACATTTACTATTAACTGATGTCCCACTTTGTCGTACCACAGTTTAACCTACAAGAATCAAGTTACCAGAAAACATTACTGAAAACGGAGAAAAACCAGAATTTTCAGACTACATCACGTTAACCACAATGTAAAAGTAACCATTGTTTTTTCCAAGAGACAATGTATATATTTTATTTCAAATCCCTTAATATTTAATTAAGTTAGATGGAAAGTATGATGGTATATACCAAAGACTTTTGTATTAACCACAGCTGAATAAAATGGTGGTGCTTGATTATACTTACATTGTTTATTGTACTCACTGCCTAATCTTGTATCTCTGAGTACATTTAAACCAGCATATGACTTAGCTCTGCACCTTAAAAGCTACATTCAAATAGGAAGCCCTGACTGCAGCTAAACTCGAGGCATAGTTGAAATCTATCTACTCTGATTTGTCACCTTGCAAATGTCCATATGAAAAGTATAATATACAGTTAAATCATTTCTTAAGAAAATCATAACATCATGAAATTTTTGAGCCTGACGTATACTTAGAAATTAATATCATCAATACAAAAAAATAAGAATGTACCAAACAAAGTCTAAGTACTCACAGTATATTTAATAAGCACAGCTTCAGTTAGTATTACAGACAGTTCCAGGATGTAGGTGTGTCTAAATTAAAATGCATTACTGAACAGTGTAACTCTTCACAAATACACAGCTCTTTAAATGCGCCCATAAAGAAGACAAAGTGGTACTATGCTTGTTATCTGCGGATTACTGGGCACGTATAGAAGAGTGACCATTTTCAGTGCAGACAGTACAGGATGACAAGTTACAAGGCACTTTTGTGGGCTCCTCTCAACGTAAATTCCTGCGCTCCTTGGTGTATTAAGACAATTCTTTACCTCTGCTGTGATTACAGTAATGGTTTGTGAGTGTGCATAGGGGGTCTTAAACATTTGAAAGATGTTAGTCTTTACCAACAGCGGACATTTCTCTTGACCTCCCAATAGACCTTGGGAATGTGGAGGGCTGAGGGACCAGCACTTCATAGATTTTCATTAACAATTCTGGAAAAACAAAATATGCTCACAGAAAGCTGCCCTGGTAGGACTTGTGGTGCATCCCGCAGGGCTCCAGGGCTGGTTGGAGATATAACAGAAATAGAAGGCCTTTCCATCTTCTGTGATTCAAAAGAACTTGAACCTAAAAATGCATGAGAAACACATGAACTTTCCATCCAAAATTCTGAAGTGAATTTGGATAACTTATGAACTGCTTTTTCTTTGAATTGTATAAAGCTTGTATTTATACACAGTATAACTGGATTAATATACAGAAAGATTTTAAACTGATGTAGATAGCATGGTGAAAAAGACTGTCTGGATACCCTTACCCCAGATTAAACCTGCCATGTTTTGTTTTATTTGAAATAACATATTAAAAAGTGCTCCTCATATAACAGTGACAAACCATACCAAGAGCTTTAAATAAAATATTGTCTTCTGATAGAATTACACATCTCCCTTCCAACCCAAACTATTCTATGATTCTATGATCTCAAATCTTTGATGAATAAACCCATATCTGTTGTATGGATTATACTCCTGGTAGCCTCTGAAATTTTAACTCCCAAGGAACTGGCACACAGGAAGGTACGCAGGACATGCGTCTGGCATGGAGGATGCTCTGGTGCCTGCTGGACATCAGCAGTTCTCCACCAGCGAAGCAGAACCCTCACTAATGAGATGAGCTCATGACAGGTGTAACAGCACTCGGTGGCCCCACAGAACCCTGCCCCAGGGAAGGTTTCTGGTTGCATCTCAGGCAAGGCTCAGATGAGAAAGGACTGGGAGCTGTGGCCCTCACACACTCTAGCTGAAACTGTTCAAATGGGATAGTTAAAAAGAAAACCATTCTTTTGAAGCATGATACACAAAAAGTTCACCTAATCAACATTTTCTTGTTAAGAGAAAGAAACAAGAACTCTGGACTTACGCTGGGTGGTGCAGGAGGTGAAATCCTGACACCACTTGTACCTTTGGCAATCCCTTATAGCTGTTTTCTCTCTTGTGTTAGGGCAAGTAAAGGACTGTTTTGGGCCACAGCATGTATACCAGTATGGTACTAACAACACAAGATATAGAAGAAAACAATAGAATCCTGCTAAGATTTGAAATCTGTATAGCTTTTAATCAAATCTATATTGTTTTGAATTTAACACGCAAGACCAAAACCCATTGAATTTTGTCATACAAAAACCTCAGACCCAATGCAGTCTCTCAGTGCTCATCTTTCAGAAAATTCATAGCTGAAACAATTGTGCTGGGTACAAGACCATGCTTAGTGAATGGAACGAGGTGTGTACTCACTAGACTCTAACGGGGGGTGAGAAGTCTCGGGAATCCGTGGAATATCACTAAAACGTGAATATACACATAGTAATTAGAAACATCGGAGACAACCTTCTGCTGTAACAAATACGTTTCTGGGACACTTAGAAATATGGATCTGTTTCTGTTCTAATGGGTTACAAGGAAAGAAAGGGGAATTATTTAAAGACATATTTTCCACTAGCATTCATGAAAATCATACTAATGGAACTACTTCTTTCAAGTTAAGGAACTAGCAGACATAACAATATGAGCACTACAATGTTAATATTGTGGATGGATTCCACCATATCTTTACAACCAGAACAATAAAGTTAGAGAGCTTTTGGGAAGAAAAAGGTGGCAAAAGGTAGTATAGCTACGGATGTTCAACTATTTTTTGGAGGAAAAAAATCCAAAAAATAAGACATAGATTAACTCACTAGTAATTTTTATTTAAACGTCTCAAGGAGTTCACGGAATGAAACTGATGAAAATGTCTTATAATAATAAAAAGAAAAAGCAAATGAGGTTAGCAATGTTAAACAAAAAAATGAATAATGCATTTCTTCACAGGCTAAACAAAAAAAAAATCAAACCACATTACGATCGGGTATGGACATTTTTCGACATACACATACCCAGCACATATACAGGTATAAGCAAAATCAAACTGGTTAAGTCCACACACATCTATCAAAATTTTGCCATCAAAAAATTTAGTCTTCCATCAAAATCTGAATGATGCTAGCTCCTGACTCTCTTCTGTTCTCAGCAATCATTGAAAATACATTGTGAGAGCAAGAAACGACTGTTATTGTACAAACGTTAGCAAAGCAGCAGAGCAGGAAAATGGAAACAAAGCTCTATGGTGAATTACATGGAAGTATTTTTGTCTACACAAAATAATCCAAAATTGGAACTACAATAACATTTCTGAAGAACATTTACAAGATTTTAAGTCTAAAACTGAGTATTTTAAAGGTATTCAGGCATTTCTCTGTTCAGTGAAACATTATCTTGCTGACTTGGAAGTCAATAAAACTAAGACTTCCGGGTGTATAAAAGTCACTTATATAAAAGAGACACTTAAGTCAGAAAAGCAATGTAACAGTGCCCAATCAATTAGCCTTAAATTTGCTTTTCATGTCCTGCAATTTGAACTTCTAGTGCATGTGTTTTAAAAAACCCTATTTCAGCTCCCAGTTAACGTCTCACATCAGCTTACATCTCATATCACTCCACAAGAATGTGCTTCTCTTTGCTTTGACTTTGTCATTTGAGAGTAATGTGGTTTCCTCAAACTCATGGAAATATAACTGCATTACTTAGTCTTGACATGGCATAGTACTACTTTACAAAAATATGAACAGATTAACGACATGTTGCACAGCAGGGCTGCTGTGCAGACTTCTTCCCCTTAATATTTTCTCCCTTCAATTTCCAAGGCAATTCTCATCAGTCTGAAATATTTACTTAGCATATTCAAACTGATTTTTCTCTTCAATACAACATCAAGCGTGCAATGTTTTCTTGTGCTAGAATATGAACACTTTCATCTGCAGTATAGCATTGTTTGTAATAATATCCCATTTAGGATATCTAAACGAGAGCTCATATGTGCAAGGAGTATTTCAACATGGAAAGTGCAACCTACCGTGTCAAGTTGCATAATTCCTGTATGGGTGAAAAAATGTTAAAGTTGATAGTATTTTCCTCACTTAGAGCTGGCTATACAGTAGTCCTTGCCAGGTAAAGGTAAATGACAAAAATAATCATACCTTTCTTAAGATTTTACTCGTCAGACAGGAAAGAACTGAAAGTAATAATTTTTTAAAGTATTTTTCTAAACTCCTTGTAATTCTTACGAAAAACTGACAGGAACAGTGGAAGCTAGAGCATAAATTTCAACTCCCGACAAAATGCATGGTTTGCAATAGAAATGTTATTTGGCAGCTTTCCCACCCACCCCATTCATCCCCACTATATTAGAGCTTGTTCACCCTCAGGAAATCTCTAAAATTTTATAGTATAATGGGAAGCTTGTATTTATATATAAAATGTATGTATGTGTGTGTGTATTTTTATATATATATATAAAAAATTATTGCTAGGAAATCTTCTCTTCCCTAATATATTTATCTTATTTAAGCACAGCTCTACACAGAACTGCAAGACACAAAAAGCAAAGAAACTAATAAATTAGGTATGCAATACAGTACTGATCACCAAAATCATGGCAGAGTATCCTAACAAGCTCTGTAACAGTTCTGCTTTCTGCTAATGATTTCAAAATGGACATGAAATAATTCAAAGCTATGCTTCTGTCAATATTTAAACTTCTTAAAAATTCAATAATCCACTTTACATAATTATTTTTTAAATATTACATGCCCACAAGAAAATAACTGGTGTTATATATCTAATGACTTTATCAAATGTATGAGTAGTATTTTCTTAAAAAACATTGGCATTTTAATTGAAGAATGAAAATTCTAAAAAGAAACTATAACCTAAAGCTTGTTAGGTAAGAAAATGTGTCTTATCCAGCCTGCTCTTATGGATTGCAGGAAATATTCTAACACTATGATTTACAAAAAAAGCTCTTCAGAAGAAATAGTAGAAACCTCATGACTCACAATATTCAAAACTAGACTACTCAAAGCAAATAGTAAAAACAAAGTAAGAAGTAGCACAACCAGTTATTGAAAATAAGAACAACATTTTGCTCTGCTTTCAGAGCAATGTGAATGTCAGAAAAGTAACGTCAGACATAAAGAGCTGCTGACATCGAGCTTTGTCTTTCTATCTCTACCTGAAAGCCAAAGGTTTTGTTTGATCTTATGTGATGTTACATATGACTATCTTATGTCTGATCCTTCCACACCTCAATGAATACATAAATTAAACTAAACTATACCTTAGAGTGAGACTACTCTGTGCAGATATATGGTTTGTCAGGATCACTATTTTGTAAAACACAGGAACAGCCATAATATCTCTGAGGGCTATAGTCAAGAGCTTGATCACTGAAGACAAACCAAATTCAAATGTGGTTGTAACCCACACTTCTTTAGGTTGCTTCTAGGGACAGAAGCATCGTCCTCTACAAACGCCCTACAGAGTTTTCAGAGTTTCTGACTACCTGTCCCCAGTGCTCATCCTCCTATTTCCAAAACCATTCCTTCCCATCAGAACCTGTAGATCAATCTGCACTTTGCACTAATTACATTACTCGAGCGACTCTCTGGAATTCAGTACTGTCTGTTTTATGATGGAGATTCAACCTCCTTGCGAAGACCTAGTGCACAGTAGCAGTCCCTGCACAGAGGAGCTGAATCACACCAGAGAAACAACAATTTTGGCAATATTATCTGTGGAAATCCAAGCAGAGATAGCTAGCATCTGACAAAGAAAACAGAGACAAATGAAAAAACATTTGTTTTACCTGCACTATCCCACAGAGCTCACCCGAGCACACAAGAGACGGTGAGTTAGTTACCATGCCAGGTTTCTTCTCCAAAAAGCATACTGCCAGAGGATTTTCTATGCTGTCCTATGTTAACTGCCTCTCGCGTTGTATGCATATTCATAGGTAATTCTTCCCCTCGTATTTAGATAGCCAACTCATTAATTCTACTTTTTATAGGTTACTTATCTACCTTGTGTTGCAATCATTAGCATCAATTAGTTTCTATGGAGTTTTTAAGGTACTATTGTGGTTATACTGTTTATTGTCCGTATGCCTTCATCTGCTAATAGTGTTACGTTTCACATTTTTCTCTAATAAACATCCTACAATTATCCATTACTTAAAATTACATTTGCTGGTAGACACAGAAATCCAAATTTACAAGACTGAGCAAATTGTTTAGACATCAATTTTGTAACTGGCAGTCATATAATTTGTGGGCTTACAGTCCTCCCATTATTCACTTAAGCCAAACTGTGTCATGTTTGGGCTTTTTAGACCTAATATGCTAGGACTTTTTAAATAGAGACCATTAAAAGTGCTGGTACATTATTTGCATTATTAATACTGAGAGATGAAAACACTTAAATTATGCAGACGAAATATCATTTTTCAGGTCTTTCGGGAACCTATTTCCCCACAGGAATTTTAGGTGTAATGGATTACCACTTACTGCTGTATCAAGCAGCTTCGATTTTGCTGAGTCAGCACCTAAAGTAGACACAAAACTTTCCTATACTAGATTTGTTGGATTAAATAAAATTCCTCATCATGAATTTGAAACAATCACATAGTTTGGATAACAAGACAAGGAGAAGTTAGGGGGAAAAAAAGCAATCTGTTAATGCAAGCAAGCCATTTCCCATTATGTAACACAATTTACATAGATTATAATTATTTAAAAAAAAAAAAGAAAAAGAAAATCCTATGCAGCATGTTCTTTTTTGTTAACTAATATCAGGATTTCCTTCATTGTACAATGCCTGATATTTTTTTTCTTTGAAGATGACAGACAGGTAAATCCCACTCTGATACAAAACAACAGGACTTTGACTCGTTACTGCTGGAGAAAGGAAGTATCTTTAAATTTCAAAGTTATATGCTCTAGTTGCTTTGGGATATTTATTTGCTTTTCTCAAAAAAAAAAAAAAATCAATCAAGACACAACTCTGCAAGAACAGTGGTGTTATAGTATGTAAAAACCTACATGCCAAGACTCCATTTATCTCAAATTAAAAGCACAATCTGATGTGTTCTATTTTTGCCTATGTCTGGAAAAACATGTATGGGTCATCCAAAGCAAAACTTTATATTTTATTGGTACTATTTCTGGGTGCACTTTTTTACTGTAAAATTCACTGCTTGGATTCAGAAACATTCTTTGATTTTGAATGCACTTCACATTCTATGTCACAGTTCAACAGTTTATGTCTCAGTTCAACAGTTGTGGTATTTTCTCTCGATTTTTCTTCAAGAATATGTCACTGGAATGTGGTCACCTAGTACTTCATTTTTTGAAGCTATTAGATTTATCAAATTCATAAACTAAAATAATTCAACTGGTTTAATAATGAAGTTATCTTAAAAGCTTAAGGATACATGACATTTGCAAATATATTGATAGCAATAAATATATCTAAAGCTCATTATTTAAAATACTAATCTAGCACTTTCCATTTACATCAGTTGTACAAATCAATTTTCAGGTTTTCTTTAATTAAGACATGAAGTTCAAGTCAGGTCCAGTATCAACATTTTTTTTTTCTGCCGATTTAAACATAAAAACTAGACTTCCAAAAATCTCCTTATGGCATCTTATTTTTAATTACAAAGACGTAGGACTGAATTTGCAATTTTCAGTCAGGAATGTCTCCTAATTTATACAGCTAAAGAATGTAAAATAAGATTTCTACTCCCCCACAGTCTCCATCTGGATGGTAATTTTAGCTTTCAACAACCACTATTACTGCATCAAGCTTTCGTTTTCCATTAGAAGGTCAAACTTATAACTGGAATTAGCAACAAATGTTAATTTTATTTAAGTACTTTTAATAGTGATTGCCATTAAAAAGGCTGAACTCATTTGCAAAATATAGCTACACTTGCACAGTACAGGCAAAACCAAACATCAAAAGCCGGCATGAAATAAATGTAGAAGAAGAATGTTTTAGTCAGAAAGAAAATTAATACTGGTTTTTGTTTCTAAAACTGAAAACTTATCATATTTGAGATAGATAAAATTTATAATGAGGATGAAATCTAGCAAATTCAAAATGAAATAGTCATGCATTTATAAGGGGGAAACTGTTTACCATCTACCTACAGGATAGAGACTTATAATGGGTGCATATGAACTCTGTCTGGGAAGGTGACAAACTACAGAGACATTTAAATCCTTTTAATTTTTTTTTTTAAACTAGCCAAGAGTCACTTTTTATTGTTAATCATATGACTCTGTTCCACAATATAAATGTCAATTTACAACATATGATTCACATTCAATCCTGTAAGACTTAGCTCAAAATGGTCCCAATAGAGTCCTGTTCAGGGAAGGAGTGTAGAATTTCACTAAAACAACTGTGACAAATGCAAGGTCAACCTCACTAATCTTATCAATTTGAACAGATTTTATGGTCTTTCTAAGGCTTATTTGGGAAATCAAGAATATAAGAACTGTTACCACAAAACCCCAGACTTGGATTTATAGTAAGTAAAAATTAAGATTATAAACATAACACGTTAATGCCACTTTTTGACAAAACAAATTACCTTTATAAATATGAAGGCATTTTTATTTCCACTTTTGATTTTGATGACGGTATCATTTAAGGCTAAATACAGTCTTTTCAATTAAGAGTTTTGGTTTTCCTTTTTTTAGCTCTTTAAAGAAAGCCTGTTTAAAATCCTACTAGCATTGACTTATTAAAATCCTGCAATATTCAACGTTTGCTGATGCTTCCTTCTACTCATTAGTATTTGTGTAAGTTATTCTGATTTAAGGATGTTAAAAGCCTGAAAAACAGATTTTTTTCATCCACTTGATCCACCAATTTTCGTTTGCCACTTGGCAAAAACCTTGTTAGTACTTTGACCATACAGAAAACAACATTTATGCTTATATACATCACTGCAAAGACCCAAGATTGTAAATGGCAGTGAAGAAAATGGAATATACAGAATGTCAATAGTAGAAAGTGAATCATATTCCGTTATTAAGAGAGAAAAAATAATGAACTCACAAATAGTCCCTTTAAAAGTCCCACTAGTAGAAGTAATAACTGTGCTTAAGAAGCAAGTCTTTAGCCTTACCCAATAGGCCTTGAAACAATAATTTCAACTTGAGGTTCTGATTTTGATTCTAAAATAATGTTGTAAACTTCTTCATTTGTAGCTCCAGGCAAGGGTTTACCATTCCATTCTAGAACTTCATCCCCTTGAATTTAAAGAGAAGTTTATCTCATTTCCATATTCTTTTAGAAAGAAGAGCAAAACATTTATGAAATCTCTATAACCAAGTAACATTGCCCGAAATTAATTAAAAAGCCGTGCTGGAACCCAAAAAAGGTTTTTGAGATAATATCAAGGCTCCTTTCTCATAACACGGGTACAATTTGTACACACAAAACATATTAAAGAAACCACTTGTGCCAACATATTAAGTACTTCCAAAATAATGCAGAACCTGTTATTGTGCTATGAAATGAAAGAGTCTTTTTAAAAGATCCTTTATTCACTAGCAGCAATAAAGTTTGAAAACAGGTTAATCTTCAAAAGTGAAAAATATAAATACCTACAGTTAAGCCTTTAAAAATCATGACATTTTATTACAATTTACCTACTGTGCATTTTGATTTCTCTACAAAAAGGGCAGTCTTCACTGTCTGTGTCAAACGAACCCAAAATAAAAGCAAGGAGTGAGTCACTATCTCCTGAGGATGTTAGCAGGGACAGAAAGAAAAACATGATGTGAAAGTTATTTAGATAACTTTCTTTTTTCAGCTTGCCATTTCTGGAATTTAAATAGTATGTACATTGCATTGTACTTTGGCATTATTATAGAAATGTGAAAATCTTGAAGTACAGTTTCTAAAGAAAGATCATTATATACAATTAAACTGCAGGAACCATAAGGTAAGTTTACACTCTCAAACTCCATCATATGCAGCAGTCAAAACTTCACAACCACTACCTGATGCCACAAATAACTATTGACAATGATTTTATCTTTATTGACACTGATTTCTTGTTAATCAGATTCAGTCAGGAACAACCCTTCAGCTGCTGTCTTTGCTCCCTTCTGAGGAGATCTAAGCCAAATGATCAAACTTGTGCTTGTTAATAAGCCAAGGAAAACTATCCTAACTGAAGTCCTATCTACCAAAACACATGACTTCAATTTCTCTGTATGTTCAGTGATTGTCAGTCCTATTTCCCAAACAGCCTATATCTTGGTATTTTAAGAAAGGACTCCACAGAGTGTTCCACTGGCTTTCAAAGCAGTTTGGCATTCTTTAAAACATAAGGGCTTGCTAATGACAGACTTAATAAGTGAGTTTAATTTTCTACCATGCTGTTAGCTGAAACAGTTTTAAATATTTCATATATTTATTACATAATCTTATGTTGGGGGGGAACAGGAATTAGATATTGCCCAGGAACTTCATTTCAAATTTACACAGCTCAGTGAAAACACACTCAGTTTCTTCTGTAATTCTGACTGTATTTTAAAGCTAACAACTGTTATAAACTAAGATGTTGTTTTTCCCTAAAAAAAAAAAAAAAATAGGTGCAACATGGTTGAAAATCCTGAAAAGGAATGTGCAAGGTCTCTGTATTGCTATTTTAGAGGACTTAAATAGCTTTTTAAGAGTCATTAGGAAATCAAACAATTAAAAAAAAAGAATTGCCAAGATGATGAAACATAAGATTATCATAGTCAGAATGCTAAATTAACAGAAGTGGCTCTAATTATTCTTACTGAAAACTAGATCCAAATGGAGATTTGAGTGAAATGGCACTTCTGCTAGTTCTAACCAGATCACCACCATCCATCTTTTGCTCAGCTTGTCCAGTGCTTGATCTTTTTGACCAGCCAAGCCCTTTTACATTGTCTTTTTCATCTAAGATGCTGTCTATAAGGCTTACGTTCTGATTTCCGCTCTCAGTAACAGGTACGGAAACAGGAAAGCACCATCCGGATACTCAAAACTTGGACATATGCAAAGCCCAACTGAACACGATCCTGTGCAACCTGCTCTAGCTGACCCTGCTTAAGCAGTGGGGTTAGACTAGAGATCTCAAGAGGTCCCTACCCACCCCAACCATCCTGTGATACACTGCTACAAATTGAGGTGAGATGAACTCCCCGGTCTTAAGTCCAGAGTAGCCCAGAGTAGTAGCCTAGAGTGGCAAGTTAGTCAGTCAAGGAGCTGTTAGACACCTTACACTGTAGATGTTTAGGATAACCAAAATACCTGCACAAAGCGAGTTGGCAGAACCTACAGGATACCTGCACTCTGATGGAGCCACTTCTGCTGGGGAGGCATATATTCCAGAATATCTAAGATGCCTCTGCAAAGGAATATTAACGCATCGTAATATTCCCCCACTTACTGATGCATGATCAGCAGAGATAGAAAGTTTTCAGATTTATGCTGCAAATCTCTGAATTTTTTTATATTGATTTCTAAAATAGTAATTTGGTTTGGGAGATACGTCTGGGAGTCAGCTAGTCCCAACCCCTGCTTAAAGTAGGGCCAACATCAAACGACAGACCGGGTTGCTCAAGGATTTAACCAGATGAGACTTGGGTATTTCAAAGGAAGGATACGCAACACCTCCTCTGGGCAATCTTTTCCAAGCCTTAACTATCCTCTCTAGATACAAGAAAAAAGATTTTCACAAACAGGATCTTCCTCATTCCAGCTTGTGTGCTTCTTGTGTGATCAGTGTGCACCTCTGAGAACAGTCCGTTTCTGGGTTCTCTACAGCCTCCCATTAGCCAGGTAAAAACGAGAATTAGACCCTCCCATAGTCTTTTCTTTGCCAGTCTGAATAAACCCAGTATGCCACCTGCTTTAGATTCCTAATCAACTTTCTGTCCCTCTTCCCAACCTGGTCCAGTTTGTCAGTATCTCTCTTGTACTAGAGGAACCCAAACTGGACACAGTACTCCAGATACAGCCTCATGAGCACTGAATAGAGAGCAACAACCACCTCCCTCAACCTGCTGGTGACAATCCTGTTAATACAGCCCTGTACATGAAAGGGTGCTTTGCTGACTCATGTTCAACTTACTGTCCTCCAGCACTTCCAGACACTTTTCTGCCAAGCTGCTTTCTAGCTGATTGGCTTCTAGTGCTTACTGTTGCACTGCATTATTCTGTTACTGATGTAAGATTTCATATTTGCCTTTGTTAAAATTTATGAGGTTTGTACAATTACTCAAAGATTTATCAACTAGCCAAATTTTGGAGGTTTTTCATAAAGACAAAAAAGTGTGTTTTCCTAACAGCAAGGACTCATCCATGCCTTTTTTTGTGTTTTAGTCCCATACAATAGGACGAATAGACTTTCATTCATTGAAAATGTGCGCAAAACAATGTATTTTTTCTGTGAAATTATTTTGGCTCTAAAAATATTTTTAGAAATTAAAAATAGCTTTGACTTAAAAAACAACCTAGACCAGACATTAGAAATGTAATATTTCAGCCCAAATAGTTCAAGATTAGGGGAGAGAAACTTATTTTCTGTAATTGTAATCTGCAGTTAAGATCTATAAATAACGATAATAATTGGTGCTACCAACCCCATGTATATTGACTTGGTAAAAAAAAAAAAATAAACAAATGCCAAAACAAAGTAGGATATTTTTAGAGACTCATCATCTTTTCTACTTCTTTATTACTATTTGCTTCATGCAATTATCCTAAATTCATACAAGTTGTCATCAGAGCTTCTGGATTCCTCAGAAGGCATTGCATAGACTTTGGTTTGCTAAGACAAGACTTGGAAAGTAGTTGCTTAGAGCCATGGTAAAAATATAAATCACTAAGAAGTAATTTTGAAAACCAGCTGCTGTGCACAGTTCTCGCTTCATTTAGAAGCTTGAAAAGTGCCAACAGCACTGACACTTATTTGTAAGTGCAGAATATACATCTTATATAAATGAAATATTTTAAGATCATTTTCTTGAGTTGTTTTCCATTTTTATTTGTAACAATTCACATTGAAAGAAGCACTAATAAAAGTCCATTGTGTACACAGTGCCATCATCCTTCAGGTGACACTACAGTACAAGTAAAGTAACTGTAGTGAGTTTTGTTTGCCACAATGAAACAGTTTGAAAAAATGTTTGCATTGCTTTTCTAAAGTGTAACAAGCAGCTCTTGAGCTAGCAAGCAAAAATTTACCAGTGACACTCAGTCCTGACACCAGCACTCATCAGGAGTGTCTTGTATTTTGCTCATACAGCCAAGCAATTGGAGTTAAAAATAAATTAGAAATGTAGGCAACTGTGGCATTCCATAATAACTTTACAGTATTGTTCTGGACCAATGTTAATATAAATTACCAGCTGCATTACAAAAAGCCATAATTAAAAGACAATATATTTTATATGCAACTGATTGATTTACCTGCTCTGAGATGCCCCACCACATCAGCCAAGCTACCTTTCTTCACTTTGGTAATGAAGGCACCGAGTCGTCCTAATTCTGTCATTTTTCCTCCAACAACCTGGTTAATCATAAATTTGTGAGCTTCCAAGCCACACACCAGACACCACATCAAGCATAAATATATAGACAGATCAGTTTTCACATTATTTTTAAAATTAAACTTAAAATATGCATAAGCAAATCTATTGTCAATTTAGGCCTTACAGAGGCTTAAAGACAAAGTTAAAGATACAAAAAGGCCAGATCTACTTGAAAAGAAGTAAAGCTGACAGAGAATGAATAAAATTGATATTCCTTTTAAGGTGTTTGACTAATCAATCTTATGCAGTTTGTTAAGTATCTAAACGTTGCAGAAAGAACGTTTCTTAATAACCAAGAAAATGTACTTTTTGCAAATAGATGTCTGTGATGTTCTTAAGTTTAAATTGCAAGTGTACATCAAACCAAACATATGAAAATCCCAAAATGCAATTGGTACAACAATTAAAAACTTAGCAAATACACTATGAAACATGGGCAAAAAGTTCACAAGAACATTGCTACTGCTAAAACCCAGGCCCTCTCATCCAAACACATGACAGGACAAAACAGCTTCTGGCTTTTGTTAAACAGAACTGGAGAGAGCTATTTTTGAAGATGACTGCATGATACAGAGATCAGGAAAATCAGAAAAAAAAGGTGCCCTCAAGAGATTAGATTTTTAATAAAGTATATAAAACAAGAAAATGAAGTCTTGCTGACTTTCTATTATTCTCTATCTTACTCTCTCCAGTCAGTTTTTTTGTCAGGAATATCCTGGGAGGAGTTTTATAATAAAACGAAACAGCTGGTTCATTAGGTATTATTTCCCCATGTTGTAATCACAGTAACTAGTAGGAGCTTTAATACAGATATATATCCAAGAAGATGCAGAAGCCTACTTGCCAACAAGGTTGTCACAAGATAATGTGTTAAATTTATCAGCGGGGGCCTTAGTTCACATCATACAAAAATGAAACTTGAAAAATCAAAGAGAAGCTGTCCAATCTGCATTTCCTACTAGGACCAACCTTTTTTCTCACATACTAAAAAAAGATTGCTTGCTGCCAGCAAAAACCAGCCTTGTGCTACAAACTACTAGACATTTAGTAGAGTGAAGCTGTTCTCATCTTCTGTATTCCCACACCACACTATCTCACTTCAAGGTGGATAAATGGCACTTACCCAGGACATGCCATTACCAAGTTTACAAGGTTCTTTCCTGATTTAATTCCCACCATGATGAGAAGAACCGACAACCCACATCTCCGTCACATGCGAGGGACTGAACTATCAGACAATTATATGCAAGGACCAGTTCAGTGTCAGTGCCCTTTGAAGTAGACTCAGTCCTAAGTGGATGGGAATGTTTCATATTTTGCATTGTTTCCATTGTTCTCAGTGGGGAGAGGAAGACACCCACATTAAATTCTCTCAGTCAAGTCATCTTTGGAGCTCCATATAGTTAAAAATATACATGGAGAGAGAAATTCTTGAACTGGCACGCTGTACTCCCCACCAGCTTCAGAAGTAGTGCTCTCTCTCTTTTAAGTGTTCTAGCAATTTAGGGACACGAACCTAAAAGTCCACTACCAATGACTAATTTAGGGATTTAAATCAACTGCACAGCATTGCCAATGTCTTAATTTTGGGGCACCAGATTAACTGGAATTACATTTAATATAATTTCTACTATGCCTGACAAATTTTTTTGCAAATTTTTGTGTAAATGTTTAGTTTCATTCCACAAAATTTCTGTTTCCGACTGGCTGTGTGGATTTTAAACACTGACCTTGTAAACGTTTGTATCCGGATGACATTTATGTATGTGGATTATGACATGAATTACTTCACTGAAAAACAGTAGAGCTAGAAAAGGCAGGACTCCATTAATGCATTTTAATGTGCAGTATATGTCTTCCAGACATGAAGCTGAATAAACATAAGCTTTTTAATCAAAACGGTTCAGCTCCTTTGCCATGGATGAGTGGAAGACTGCATAGAAGGATAATTTATCTGTATAAATTTCAAAACTTATTAAAAATGAGGAATATACTTTTGTCAAATGACCATATAACTGGCGAGTCCTCCGATTTAATGTGTTAGACCTCTGTGTCTAAAGTCAGTGGAAGTTTCTTTCATTCACCATATAAACCACGTAATACCTACTTTTAGCCCCAATAATGCACCCGATTCTTTTGGCATGGTTGTTCTCTTGTTAAGAATAACACGCCCAATTAAGCGATCTCCCTCTTTAGAAGGCTGCCACGTTACTGGATGCTGTTAAAAAAACAAGCAGTGGAATTAAAGAAGTGCAACCATCTTCCTGTATTTAGATGTACATTTACAAACCAATAAAATTTCTGGATCATTATGTCATGGTAGACACAAACATCCTTCAGATGTGTTACATATTGGACCTGAGCTTTCTATTATTATATCTGTTGGACTCCAGCTTCATTAAATATTTATGCCCACTGTAAAAAAATCTCAGCACTAAGTCTGCAGGTAGAATTATAATACAATTCAAAGTTCAATACAATTAAACATTTAAAACAAAACTTAGGTAATAAAATTAAACCTTTACTTTTAAATTCCATGACCCTGAACAGTGCATTCATAAATTCTGTTCTTTAGAATAATATACATGTTATACAGCTCTACCATATGGGTTCACTATATAATAAAAATCCAAATGATCCTTTCCCACACCAAGTCAATAGAAAAAGTCACTAATCTCTCCCAGAGCAGCATCACACTCACAGCTGCTTTTGTGGTGTGTAGTGAAATCCAGTATCATGTCTATAAAAGAATTAAGTTCAAGTTAAAATTCAGCCAATTTTACTAGTATACATTATGATGAAGATTTCTTTCTGATTTCAGTTTCCATGATCCACTAAACCAAATTTTCATATAATTTGAATAGACTAATTTTTTACAACAATGTATCTATGCTGAACTGAAATAATCAGCAAACATTTTAATTCATACTTATGAACCTCTTTTTCCCTATTTCTTACCGAACTAATAGGGGATGTCTCCCTGCTGTGCCACGTGGCAGGATCCAGCCAGTAATAATCCAAGTCACCTGGAAGAATATGAATAGAAAGAAATGTGTAATCTTTCAAACAGAGAAAGATGTATGAATGATTACTTCTGCATGCATGAATTTTAATGTGCAATAGTTTGATGAAGCAAATACAAAACCTGTATTATGATTCAAATTAACTTATATCAACTTGAAAACAATATAGCCTAATAATATAAACCCAAACCCACATAATAATGCATTTATTTGGACCTCTGCTTTTTCACGAATTGCACCTCAGAATCTGTTGTGCACTCCAGCTGTTTTTGACTTTGCCCAGTCATCTTCCAAGAATGGACCCCAATGCATCACATTCACAGCCCTCCTCCTCCCCCCGTCTCCATAACAAACACACAGGACTACAGCTAACGATGACACAAGAGAGAATACTCCACAAAATAGGCACTTAGCTACAATTAAGGACAGAACAGTCAACCACACTCAAGAATCTGCCAAGTAGTTGATCAATACCGTGGCAATGGGTACTGTACAGACAGAGAGGCACAAGAGCCGGTAAAGTGTAACAGAGCACCAGGCAAAACAGCCACACAAATAGAGCAAACAGTGCCAACAGCAGATATGAGGTTGCAATCTTTCATTTAACTTGGGACAAACTTATATATTATGTACATCAAGAATAAACCCATGAATTACAGTGGTCTGGAAGCCATGAATCTGGTGGATAGGGTAGGGGCAGGGTTTGGGAGAAAAGGCAGCAAAGTGTAACACCACAGAGAGTATATATGAATTTATGGAAAGCTAAGGAAACCACAGTTTGACTTAATATATTACAGCTGTAGAAGGCTGAGTTGGTAACAAAAAACTACCAATTTCACTGGCAGTTGTCTGTGATAGAGGACTGATGTAACTGTGCACTCCAAGAAGGAAAAGGATGAGGCAGGAACTGCAAGAGGAAGAGTATCAGGCAGTGCAATTCAGAGTGCAATTTCCTTTACAAAGAGGAAGGGTGCAGGTGATATTGGGAAGGACATAGGAGAATGATGCAGGCTAGAACAGATCCAACAGAAGGATAAATGTGAGACTGATACAGCAGGAACAAGTCTGAAGTATTTCTGTGCTAGCCTACTTTTAAACAGAATATACCTGTGAGCTCTGAACCTTGTCATTATGTCACCCCTTTGGGCATTGCCAAGTGTATTAAAAATGCAATAGTGTCATCAGAAATGAGAACAACAACTCCTTCTAATGCTCTCTTGCAATAACAGTAGTATATAAAAGCTCGATCTGAAATAACCTAGAGGTATTTTTGAATTTTATCTGAGAAAAAGCAGATGATTCTGCCATTTAGCTTACAATGCCTTTAAACACGCAAACAAATAAAACTCCCACCAAACCAAAATCTAAACTATCACTTCAGAGGTTAGTTTTAGACCCTGAAGGAAATACAGTCACCTCTCACTGAGGTTTATATCCATACCTGCACTCCAGGTATTTTTCACCCTCACTTAGGCAGAGAACCTTAGTCATTGGAAATATGTTAGTGGAACAGTTTAATAATACTGCTTTTTGAATTTACAAGTGATTTTTTTTTTCAAGTCTTCAAATTACTATGTCCCAGAGTTAGTTTTCATTATGGAATAACTCTTCACACACTTTCCTAACAACATTCCTACAAACTCTTTACCAATCATTTAAAAGCCACACACCTTGACATCTTGACATCTGCAGTTAAGTACTCTGTTACAGCTATACTTTTAAAAACAATTTCTCCTTGATCATCCTACGTCATTGCTGCTTCTTTACTTAATACCTACTTATGCCATTCTTGCACTGCCATACCCCAGAACTGACTATTTTTTTAATTACACTAAATAATTTCACTGAAATAGTATTACAGAGATTCAGGAATAGGTAAATAACATGCAAAAACTTGCAGTCTAAGAGCATAGTTTCAGAATTTCAGATTTTCTCAAAAAAACCCTACCAAAATTAAAAACAAAAAAACCTATACACAGAGTACTCTCTCCACTGGTAAAAGTCATTAAAAATAACTAGTAAAATAAGACAAATTTAAGACATTATGGAGAGGAAAAAACAACTTTTCTAAGGAGTAAATAATTGATTTACAGGCTTAAACTGCTTTTAAACACTTCTAAACAATGCTTTAAATTTAAAAATAATAAGACCCTATGAAAATATGCATATACTGTACCATTATTTTTGTACATTACTGATATTTTCTAAAACTTAAAAAACATATTTCAACTTAAAGCATATTATTAAAAATGCATTTGCAGTTATAATGCGTGCTTTACTTAAGACCAATGGAGTGAAACAAGTATATGTGTATAAAACCTTTTTTCCTGAGGGAATAATTCAAACGTTGTATCCTACCAGCAATGAAATACTTTTCCTATTAATCGAGCTGCTGCTCGATTACTTTACTCTTGGACGCAGATGGATATAATCATAAATCTACTTTACAAGACACAAATGTGTTGAGTTTTTTTTCTGTGAGAAGTCTTTTGCAGTCTTCAATCAAATTTCAAGATGGGGAGTAAAACTCTAAAAAATTGCTGTTGTTTTTATATCCGCAACATGAGTGCCTTGAAATAAAGAGAAAGCAAAATTCACACCACCAAAAAAACATTTTCTCTAAAATACTTCATCTTCAGCAGCACTACCCATACCAAAAGCTAATGCTGGGATACTGTGATTTCGAGTGAAATCCTGCAAAGCTGAGAAGTGCTGGAAATGACAGTCTTGTCTCTCTTGCAAAGTCAAAACAAGAACAAAATATGAGAAAGTCCGTTATCATGTATGACCGGTTGTCCTGATTTCCAAAGAGTCTTGAATACCAGAGATAAAATACCCCAAGATGTTTTCCCAAATCCATCCAGTCTGTATTCGGAGACTACTGATATTCAGCAAAGAACGCGGTTCTGGTGTTTTGCTCAAATCCAGATGCACTAGATTTGCAGCGGTTACTTAAGACAAGAAGCAGACAGTCTAATGATAAGAGTCAGTCAGCCCATGTTAGGCACTTAATTGAGCCTAACATGTAGCTGCTAATTAATAAAGCAGTTCTATCACGTAACTAGGAAACTCAGACAATTATTTTCAGAGGCTGCATCTAAAATTAAGGTGCAAACTGGCTTCCTATATAGTCAGACACATGCAACAGCCTAATTAACACATGCAACAGTCATTTATGTATTTACCTTTGTTAATTTTTAGGGTCAAATACAGCCAGCATTAAACAGACAATAAAGCTTATCAAAGACATGGAACATCCTCTGTTAGGTTTTCCACAGTTCCCATGGAACTGAATCAGTATCTCATGGAAATGATCAATTGTTTCCCAAGGTAAAAATAAATAGAAGCCACATTATCAACCTACAGAAAGTTACAACAAATGTAAACAAACTCCATGTATCAACTTGATTGCCTTCCTCCTTCATATTCTGAGTTTTCACAAGTTAGAAGAACACTCTACATGCTATTGTCAGCACACTGTTATTGCCATCAAAAACATCTGGCTGCTGTTACAGATGTGATAAGTCATATTATTAAGCAAGAAAGTACTTCTATGCCCAAGAAAAAAAGATGCTAATCATTTAATCATGTCTGATAAACAATGTATGTTTAAATCATTATAGTCAAGCTGCTAACTAACCACATAAAGAGAAAACATGAGTACCCTGGCCTGACAGGCAGCCCTCACATCTAAATGGCAAGCAGAGAATTCAAAAGCTACCTATTGCCAATTTATACAGAAAACTTCACAAAAATTCTCATTATCTCCTTGCTCTCAAATCAACTCACTTCACATGCCTGCAGTTAAGAACTTAAATCCTTGCAGAACGAGGTCTGTGTTTTACCATTTATGTGGTTCAAGGGCAGGCTGGCTCATGCTGTATGTGGGAAGAATGCAGCACATGACTGTGAAGTTTAGGTTTTATTTTTTACAGAAAACATATAATCACATTGGATTTGAATTCCCTGCTGGCACATGTCCTAAACACTGAATGCTAACATACTGTAAGACTCCAAAGTTCAAATAAAGACTAGTACTCCATACAAGTGACAATTTACACATATATAATACAGCTATTTGGACTACAGACCTGGCATACCTGCCTGTGACCCAAAGCTCGAGCCAGCATCTCAGATCATTCCCTCATTCAATATTTATTTAAGCATTTTAACGTAATGATGAGATACAAAATTGCTTTTCCATATCTTAATTAAATTTCTGAGTAACAGAAAATCATTGAAAACGGGTCTGTGGAGCTTTACCAAGCACTAGCCTTTCAGATCTAGATAACTGACAACCTGGGCTTATCCAGCATACACTGAAAATAAATGTTTATTCCTTACTTTTATGTTTAGAAGATAAGGACATTTCATACTCTTTCTCACACAAAATGAACACTTCAGCATTTTATTTTGAAACAAACCCCTTAGTTTAAAAATCTTTTTAAAAACGGTAGTTACATTGTGAACACAGTGCAGGTTGCAATGCTAATTAGTATTTGCAAACCAGAAATCCAGAAATAATTAGGCAAGGAAGTAGTGAACTCATGAAATACTATTTTGATTGTTAAGGACATTAATATTAGACTAAATACAGTGAAAAGAAAAATCCGTTTGACTTCTTCCTTAGTTACTATTGCAAAGTGGTTTCTTTACAAGAGTTTGCAAATTCACAATTATTTTTGATTTTGCAAAGGAATGATTTGTCAGTGGCTGATTCTTTCAATATATTCTTTTTATCTGGATGCAAGGTGAATTTTCTGTGGACTGTTTAAAATATAACATGAGTTTCTTATCCAGATATTTATTTAGCCAAGAGTTTTTTATTTTATTTTATGGATTGTGATTTTTTTTTAAATGAGGAGTACAGTTTACACATACACTTTTTTATAAGAAAGTATTGCAATTGTGTTCAAGAAGGTTTCTCAAAAGGTATACTTGCAAAAGACCTTTCAACACAAAAACAACTGGACCCATTTGTAAATTCACAAGGTGGACT